AGACGGGTTTCACTTACGTGATATTTACCAAAGCAAGCAAGTAAGGTTACAGAAGCAAAACATAGCTTTGAGTCACAAGAGCCTAGGCAAAACATAATCTTAACTTGGTCAGCATGACCAGTCCGGTCAATGCTATTGATATTATTTATACTTAATTACAAAAGTCCTTGGATTACAGAAGTCAAAATACAACCTTGGGTGGAATATAGGTACGTTGTCAGTGGCTTCAGCAAAGTTTGTGGTAAACTACAAAGCTGCCAGCTTGGTAAACTTTAGTGAGGGAGAGATGTTCTTTTTCTTTTTAACAAGGATGTAAAGGGGCTAAGGCTGACCAGTAGTCAGTTAGCTAGTCAGCCTCAGCCTGGAGTTTTTTTTTTACCAAGAGGTTTTGCCCTTTATCAATCATTTTGTTCTATTTTCTGATTTCACATTTTTGTTCTCATAGTTATCTTTATCTTCCAAGGGAAAGTGGGGCTCAGGGAAGAGAGTAAATTTCCAACAGTAGGACGGACTGAGGCCAGACAAAAGGAGGAACTTTCAGTTGGTGACTAGTAGCTCAGATATCACATTAAATGTACAAAAAATTGTTTGTTTTCTTGTATTTACTAAAACTTTATGGTTTCAATTCTGAGCTACTCTGGTGGAAGTTCCATGAAGAATGCGCATTTTGCTTTAGGTGGATGGAATAGTCTGCATATGCCTGTTATCTATTTGGTCTTTGCTGGAAGTTTGCTGGTTTTTCACCTAGATGATCTGTCTATTGATTGTGGGATGGTAAGTCACCTACTGTTATTGTATCTGGACCTATATGTTCCTTTTCCAGTGGTGTTGGTTTTTTGAAGTTAGGTATACCCAGGTTTGGTGAATATACATTTAAAATTGTCATATCTTAATTACTTTCTGGTGGGTATCATTGTTGCAATGGGTCATCCTGTATCCTTGTTTCAGCGTTTTGTTATTTCCCTTCCCCTACCCAAATTAGACAAATGTATATGCAAGATGCAGGTTGCCAAAATCAAGTACAGTGACAGCAGGGGATATACCATATGAGGAAGAACATACAAAGGAAACCAAAAAAAATCACATGGTACATTTAAAACAATAACAACAAGGAAAGGCCTCTTCTGTCCATATCTTGGGGTTCTTTTTGTTTAGTATCATCTTACATGGACATATGTACATAGCTTTTGAGCTTTTTCTGCTCATCTGATAAAATTATCCTATATGTATACTAATTATTGCAAATGAGGGAAACCATGGGACCTATATTTCTTTAGTTTGGCTTACTTCACTTAATATAATTTTTTTCAAGTCTTTGTATTTCCTAACAAATGGGGCAGTGACATTTTTTCTGATGGAAGCATAGAATTCCATTGTGAGTGTGTGTGTGTGTGTGTGTGTGTGCCATATTTTCTTGATCCATTCATTTGCTGAGGGGCATCTGGGTTGGTTCCATATTTTAGCTGTGGTGAATAATGCTGCAGTAAACATAGTTGTGCTGGTAGCTTTAGTGTGGCCTTGTTTGTGATCATTTGGGTAAATGCTCAGAACTGGCATTGCAGGGTCATAGGGGAGCTTTATGTGTATGTATGGAGGGAACTACATACTGCTTTCCAGAGTGGTTGAACAAATTTACACTCCCACCAACAATGCAGTAGGGTTCCCTTTTGAGAAGGCCCTTAATCCTACTCTTTAAAGGATAACTTGATAATATAGTCTTGATTTGGCCAGCTATTTGCTCTCAAGGCTTTAAATTGTCATTCCAGGAAAAATTGAGGGGATTTGTAGGGAGAGATGGGAGAGAATGATGGAAGAGGTCACATTGATCAAGATGCACTGTACTTAAAAACTGATAGATTGAATTGAAACCTCTTTTGACAACTACTTAAATATAATAAAAAATAATTATTCCATGTTAACCTAAGTTACAAACTTTCTGCTGATATAATTCTGATTTTCTTTGCTTTTGTAAGTACACTGGCATTTATCCCTTTCTTTGGAATTGAGACTCCATGTTTTAAGTGTGATCTGACATATAGAGTTTGTTTTTGTTTTTCTGGTCCTGTATGTTTGGTGTTGTTGGTATACCTCTTCTATTCAGATGTCCATATTTCCCATGATTTCAGAAATTTTTCTACTATAATTTCACTGAATACAGTGTAGCTCTCTTAGGACTTTAGTATGTATCTCAAATATTTCTTCTCTTCTATGTATTTTTAGCTTAGTGTGTCCTAAGGTTTTTAAAAGTTGTATCAAGGTTATTTATTTATATTTTTTTGCTATCTGAGTATAGAATATCCTTGACCTTGAAGTTCTTTCCTAACATTCTTCTGCATGATTTAGTCTAATGGTAATGCTTTGTCCTGTTTTTCTTAGGTTTATTGACTTCCATTTCTAACATTATATTATTTATTTTCTTTTCAGAATCTTAATATCCTTGCTTAATTTCTTATTTATGATGCTATTATTTAAATAGGTCATAAATCAACTTCATCTTTTTGTTTTGAATTATTTGGCATTTTACATTTCATACATTGATTATCTGTTGATTCAGTTATTGGCAAATTATGTAGCTTTGGAGGTATTATATTGCCTTGGTTTTTATTTCTTGTTTTTCTCGGTTGAAATTTTCCTATGATTGAAAAAAATCCATTGGCTTTTTTTATTTTATTGTTTGTTTATTGTTTTTCTTCTTTTTATTGTTATTATGAAGGTGATAAACAAAGGGTTTTCAGCTATATAAGTCAGGTAATGAGTACATTTCTTTTTGGACAATGTCACCTTTCCCTTGCTCTCTTCTAGTTTTTCCCTACCATTCCCACCCACATTTTTTCTCCTTAATGGAGAGTCCTCTCACTTAAAGGAGAGAAAGCAGGCAGGACTAAAAACCACAGCAGTTAAAAACACATTCCATATTTAAATGTAGTATAAAACAATTAGAAATAGTAACTATACTCAGTAGGGTTAGAAAGGAAAAGACATGTAATCATAGCTTCTCAGGAGTCTGAGATCTGAGGATTGTGGTTCAAAGCCAGACAGGTTATTCTGTGAGACTCTTACCACCAGAAAATCAGAAGTGGAGCTGTGTCTCAAGGTGATAAAACATTAACCTTGCCCTTAAAAAGCTCAGGACTGTATGTAGGAAAGGACATGCTGAGAATTTTAAAAAATTATTAGATCCAAAGGTACTGATAATTATGTACTAATAAAGAAAGATGGAGAAAGGAAAAGTATAGAAGCAGGAAATTAGGAGAAGAAAAGAAAATGGAATGGAGATCATAGACAAAACTAGAATGATAAGGAGAGAAACAAGGGTAAAAAGAGTATAGCAGAAGGCAAAATGATCAAAAGAGTAAAAAAGCAAAAAAAAAAAAAAAAAGCAAAACAAGCTACAACAATGCAATGATAAATGCCACTAGAAAAATCAAGGGCTGGGAATGTGGCTTAGTGAGTGTTTACCTAGCATGCATGAAGCCCTGGGCTCAATTCCTCAGTACCACATAAAAAGAAAAAGACAGAAGTGGTGCTGTGACTCAAGTGGTAGAGTGCTAGCCTTGAGCAAAAAGAAGCTCTGGGACCATGCCCAGGCTGTGAATTCAAGCCCCAGGACTGGCCCAAAAAAAAAAGGGAAAAAAAATCAAATATACACTAGTCATTACTTCTTTTTTTTTTTTTTGTCGGTCATGGGGCTTGAACTCTGGGCCTGGGCACTGTCCCTCAGTTTTTCAGCTCAAGGCTAGTGCTCTACCACTTGAGCCACAGCACCACGTCTGGCTTTTCCTGCTTATGTGGTGCTAAGGAATCAAACCCAGGGCCTCATGCATGCAACTACTGAGCCACCTTCCAGTCATTACTTCTTTGTTGAGGGAAAGTGGGTAGATTTCCACCTCAGGGTTTCTCTTCCAGGTTCCTACTTGGGAAGGCAGCTTTGTTTGCTTATCTAACTCTTTGAATTTGTAAGTGGGTAAGGTGGCTGAATCTGTGAGGGGCTATGCTCTAACTTGGGTTGTTCAGGGCTCTCTAACGTTCTGTCTTGGCTGGCTTGGATTCAGAACACTGCTTATTGTAAGCAAGCTGTTGATCAGGAAACATGTTGCTATCCTCAGCAGCTATGTTTAGTTACTGTTTGATGAGCTCAGAATACTGCCAGGTTGGATGTCTCTCTTGGTTTTCTTGGAAAATCTGTTCTTGAGCAGTGGGTGCTATCTGCCAGTCTCCCTGGCCATCAGTCAAGACTATGCAGTTTACACTGGCTGGACAAGGCTCTAATTGATCTAGTTGATCTCGTTTGACTCTAGTTGCCCCCAATTGCCTTAGCTTCACACTTTTCTTCACTGCACTTCTGGGTTGCCATTCAGGCTCTGTCCTACATACACCCCAGGCTCCGTGATGTGGGGTTTTTGTTTTTGTTTTTTCTCTCTCTAGTCCTAGGGCTTGAACTCTGGGCCTGGACTCTGTCCCTGAGCTGCTGCTGCTGCTTCTTTGTTGTTATTGTTGTTCAAGGATAGCACTCTTGCCACAGAACCACTTCTACTTTTTCCTGTGTATGTGGTACTAAGGAATTGAACCTAGGGCTTCATAAATATGAGGCAAATGCTCAACCACTAAGCCAGATTCCCAACCTCTGTGGTAGTATTTTGATGTATTTGGATTTTTTAGTGGCTTGTCCTTATTGGGCTGGCCTTGTTTGAAGCCCTGTTTGGGGGAATCTCCATTTCCCCTATGGTTTTGCTCAGCACTCGAGGTTGACTTGAGTATTTTCCTTTATAAATGTGAAGTTCAATATTTCTGGATTTCATCACAATTCCATGTCTTTCCTAGCCATAGTCCATGCTCTGAGCCATAAGACTGTTTCACATGTTTGGAGGTTCAGGAACATAGTCATGATCTCTAATCAGTGTTTTCTCTTACAGAGCTTAAACTTAGTATAAAAGTGTGTAAATAATTTGAAATTGCGATCTCTTTAGCAATGTTAATGTTTTTCTAAAATATTTTTGAAGGTGACACTCACATTGGTGGCAGCAGTAGAGAAGGCTCATTTAAAGACACAATAACGTTAAAGTGGTGCACACCAAGGACCAATAACATTGGTGGGTATTTGAAGATGATTGAAGCAGAAAAGATTAAAACAGAGTGTTCCTAAAGTACTAATGTGGGGACTCAGTCAACCTTATTTTTTTGGTCTGTCATGGGGCTTGAACTCAGGGCCTGGGCACTGTCCCTGCATTTTTTTGCTTAAGGCTAGTGCTCTACCACTTGGGACATAGCTCTACTTTCTCAGTTAACATCTTTAAAAAACAAATTTGTTTTCCATTTTTCAGGGGTCAGTAACCAAGTTGTTTTATTTTTATTTTTGATTATGAGAATATTTCTTTATATTCCTTCAAACCAGTGTTTTCTTCTCTTTCAGAATTACACTATTGTACTGGAGCTTATCGAATTTCACCTGTAGATGTAAATAGTAGACCTTCGTCCTGCCTTACTAATTTTCTTCTCAATGGTAACTTTCAACATTTAATGGTTTTAACAGATATTATTTTAAGTAAAGATCACTAGTGAGAATATGAACTTTGGGAATTTATGTCAATATAGTCTTAACAGATGCCCTTTAGCAGTTCTGCTAAATTTCCAAAGCTTTCCACTAATTCTTATGATGATCTGTGTTTTAGGACCAATGGTCTAAAAATTAAAAGGCTTTATCATAATTAATTAGTTAATTTAATTTAATTAATAAGTTAATTTCATTGTTAGGTTATACTTGATTTGACTATCAAATTAAAATTCAGATTTAAGAATGTTTGGTCCTGTGAAATAGAAAAATAACAGTGCTGATAAAGTATTGTAGAGATGAATTGAGATGATGCCTTCTCAAATGTTTTGAGGTCTATCTAGGAGGTTTCTTACTTTTCTTCATAAATGTCTAGAACAAAACTTGATGTGAAATCAAGTATCACATACAACTAAACATACCAGTGACCAGTATACTTGTCTTAGAAAAGTGTCCAAATTACTACTTGAGTATCTTAAGAATAATCTGAAGTTAGAAGTTTTTTTTTTTTTTTTTTATAAGAATTAAAGTATAGAAGCTGGGCACCAGTGGCTCACGCCTGTAATCCTAGCTACTCAGGAGGCTGAGATCTGAGGATTGTGGTTCAAAGCCAGTCCGGGCAGGAAAAGTCCATGAGACTTTTTGCTGTTGTTATTGTTGGTTGTGAGGCCTGAACTCTGGGCCTGGGCACTGTCCCTCAGCTCTTCAGCTCAAGGCTAGCACCCTACCACTTGAGCCACAGCACCACTTCCGGCTTTTTCTGCTTATGTGGTGCTGAGGAATCAAACCCAGGGCCTCATGCATGCAAAACAAGCAGTCTACCACTGAGTCACCTTCCCAGTCCAGTCCATGAGACTCCATCTCCATTAAACCATTTAGAAAACAAGAAGTGGCACTGTGGCTCAAGTGGTAGAGCACTAGCCTTGAGCTGAAGAGCTGAGGGACAGTGCCCAGACACAGAGTTTAAGTCCTACAACCAACAAAAAAAGAAAAAAGAATTAAAGTATAGATGTATCAAATTAGCAATGTTGTTAGAATGTAGGCATCAATAAATAAAATGAAGCTGGGCACTAGTGGTTCATGCTTGTAATCCTAGCTATTCAGGAGGATGAGATCTGAGGATCCCGGTTTAAAGCCAGTCTGGGCAGGAAAGTCCGTGAGACTCCAATATACCACTCAGAAAACTGGAAGTGGCTCTGTGGCTCAAGTGGTAGAGCACTAGTCTTGAGCTTGAGCTGAGGGACAATGCCTAGGCCCAGAGTTCAAGCCCACGACCGACCGACTGACTAACCAACCAACCGACCTAAATTAATTAATTAAAAAATGAAACATCTCCACATAAATCTTAATAAGTCAGAGCCTGTCTGAATGTCATGAGCGTATCTTGGTTTTCACAGGTCGTTCTGTTCTATTGGAACAGCCACGAAAGTCGGGCTCTAAAGTCATTAGTCATATGCTTAGTAGCCATGGAGGAGAGATCTTTTTACATGTGCTTAGCAGTTCACGATCTATCCTGGAGGATCCACCCTCAATAAGTGAAGGATGTGGAGGAAGGGTGACAGACTACCGGATTACAGTAAGACTTTAATATTTCTGCCTGTTATATTTGGAGTCTGTAGATAGCAAATAGTTACTGAATTTGTATTATGTGCTAAAATCCGTGGAAAAGACGATTTGGAGCAACTTGATTTTTGTTATATCTGGAATATGTCAATGAACAAATAGTTATTAAGTTCTTATTGTTGCTAAGATTTGTAAAACAATTTGGAAGAACTTGATTACTTGTTAAGTCATTAAATTGTTTACAGTACTTGCTCAGATCTATTTGTTATGATGGAGATTTTCATGGTATGTATTCAATGCATACTGAGAAGTAGTTGGAATGTACTGAAATATTAGAACTATGGAGATGAAAAATTGATTTGAACTAAGATTTATGGATTTATGCAATTTAAAAACTGCAAGCAGAAACATTTGTATGTTTATATCGCTGCTGCTTCAAAATAACTTTAACTTGTATATTATTTTTAGGATATACTATTATTAGGATGATGATACAAGGAAATGATATGTATTTTTGGTAGAAATCCCTTTGTTTTGGTTTTAATTTTATCTCCCTTTTCATATTTGATGGATATCTATCTTTAGAGATGGTTATAGAAATAAAATATGATTTATATATACTGTTAGACTAATCCACAAATGTTTTATGCCACACATTTTATGTAATTATTGTCATTATTTTGTTTGTGTGAGTGTGTGTGTGTGTGTGTGGGTGTGTGTGTGTGTGTGGGTACTAAGTTTAGGGTCTGGGTGCTCTGTGTGTGTGTGTGTGTGTGTGTGTGTTGGTACTAAGTTCAGGGTCTGGGTGCTGTACCTGAGCTTTTTCACTTAGTGTTCTATAATTTGAGCCACACCTCCACTTCTGGCTTTTGGTGTTTAATTGGAGATAAGATTCTTTCAGATTTTCTTGCCTGGGATGGCTTCAAACCACAGTCCTCAGCTCTCACCCTCCTCAGCTAGGATTATAGGCATGAGCCACCATCACTTGGCTTGCAATATATTTTAAATAACTATTTTTGGCTGAGCTTTTCTCTTTTTCAACAAAACAAGCCTAGTCAATATTCATTGTGAGGCATTCCTGAAAAACAAAAGCAAAAAAATTGTAAGCGATTTGTAATCGTTCATTCAAAGATAATCACTTTTAACATTTTGCTGATATACCCCAGATAGTTTTTAAAGTAAGTAAATTGATCTGATGCATAAACTCATTTGTTTATATAAAATAGAAAAGAGCTACAATTTAAAAAAAGAAATGTTTCTGGGAATTTAAAAGGGGAATAGTGCCACAAGTGCATGTTTGTTTGGAGCTTTCTTCATTTCTATCTATAAAGACAAAGTTCAAAAGGAGAAAACAAAGTAATGAAGTGGGGGCTTCTGCTAGAGAAAGTTCTTTGATGTAAATCACAGGACAGAAGACATCAGGGAAGAGATTATTACATGTAACCCATATTGAAACATAAGACATAGTTTCTAATTTTGTCTTATTTGGTTATCATTAGGATTTTGGTGAATTTATGAGGGAAAACAGATTAACTCCTTTTCTAGACCCCAGATATAAAATCGATGGAAGTCTTGAGATCCCTTTGGAACGAGCAAAAGATCAGTTAGAAAAACATACCCGATACTGGCCCATGATTATTTCACAAACCACCATTTTCAACATGCAAGCGGTAAGTGTTAAATATAGATTTTTTTTTCCAGATCCATTATATCTTCTTTGTAAAAACAAACATGTGAATTTGTTTCAATGAAAGGATTAGTACTAGAGGACTGAAGTTAATAGTTATAGATTGCTTTACTGTGGTGATATTTAAAGTCAGATTGTGCCTCCATGCTTTGATAAATTTGATTTTCAAAACAGATTTTCTTTTTTCTTTAAACAAAACAAAACACTAACAGGTAGTTCCATTAGCCAGTGTTATTGTGAAAGAATGTTTGACAGAAGAAGATGTGTTAAACTGTCAAAAAACAATATACAACTTAGTTGACATGGAAAGAAAAAACGATCCTCTACCTATTTCCACAGTTGGTACCAGAGGAAAGGGTCCTAAAAGGTAGGGTTTTTTTTCCCCTTTATTCTTTACATTTATTTGAATTTTTTTAAGATAACTCATTTGACATGTAAATAATTTGAACATGAGATTAAAAATGTGAAATATGAGCTGGTGCTTGGGGTTCATGCCTATAATCCTAGCTACTCAGGAGGCTGAGTATTATAGTTTGATTATAATTCAAAGCTAGCACAGGCAGAAAAACATGAGTATTGCCAATTAATCAGCAAAAAATATGGAAGTGGGGGTATGACTCAAGTGCTAGTGCACCAGCTTTGAAAGTTCTAAGCCAAGAGTATGAAGCCATGAGTTCAAGCCCCAGTACTGGCATAAAAAATAAAATGAAAGTAAGTGTATATATACACATGTACAATATGATATAGGTAGTACATTGTACTTAGAATCCATTAGTAATGTCCACTAAGATAAAAAGAAGATATATTTCCTTTTCCTTGATATATAGTCTCAGGACCATAAATAGATTTAAATTTCTGTATTTATATTTTTTTTTGCTGTCAGTACTGGGTCTTGAACTCAGAGCTTCTTGCTTTGCTTGATTTTTTTAACTCAAGGTTGGTACTTTACCACTTTTAGCATTTTGCTGCATAATTGTAAATATGAGTCTCATGGACTTTTCTGTCCTGGTTAGCTTCAAACCATGATTCTCAGATCTCAGCCTATTAAGCAGTTAGCATTAGAGGGAGTAGCCACAAGCATCTAGCTGTATTCATAATTCATAAATACAAAATTTATAGTGTTTTCTTAAGGTTTTACTATCAGAAGTACAACACCACTTTTTAAAATATGCTAGCATGTAGGAAGTGATACTTTAGTGTTATTTTGTATTTTTCAAGTGCATTGTGAGAATATTATTTTAACTTTTCACTGCAGAGATGAACAGTACCGCATCATGTGGAATGAATTAGAAACACTTGTCAGAGCCCACATTAGCAACTCAGAGAAGCATCAGAGGGTGTTGGAATGTCTGATGGCATGCAGGAGCAAACCCCCAGAAGAAGAAGAAAGAAAGAAAAGGGGAAGAAAGCGGGAGGATAAAGAGGATAAGTCAGAAAAAGCAGCAAAAGAGTATGAACAAGAAAAATCCTGGCAGGATTCAGAGAGGTGATTTCTTGGCATTAACATAGCACAAAGGGCCTTTTGCCATACACAGTTAAACTTCATTTACAACGTGTGTTTTTTTGGTCAGTTGTGGGGCTTGAATTCTGGGCTGGGCACTGTCCCTCAGCAATTCAGCTCAAGGCAAGCACTCTACCACTTGAATTACAGCACCACTTCTGGTTTTCTGGTGGTTTATTGGAGATAAGAGTCTCATAGACTTTCCCTGGCTTTGAACTGTGATCCTCAGATCTCAGCCTCCTGAGTAGCTAGGATTACAGGCGTGAGCCACTGCCACCTGGCTGTATGTTCCTTTTTGTTGTACACGCCTGTTTTTTTTTTTTTTTAATGCTGACAAGTATCTTTCCTGCCCATATCTTTCAAGGTGGATATGTATTTATACCTCATATCTATACCCTACCACAACCTCCACAGGAATATTTTGACAGTAATTCTGGAAATTATACAATTTTGTAGATAAATAGAGCACTTTTATTCTTTTTTTTTTTTCTGCCAGTCCTGAGGCTTGAATTCTGGTCCTGGGCACTGTCCCTGAGCTTCTTTTGTTCACAGCTAGCATTCTACCACTTGAGCCACAGCGCCACTTCTGGCTTTTTCTATGTATGTGGTACTGAGGAATTGAACTCAGGCTTTATGCATGTGAGGCAAGCACTCTACCACTAAGTCACATTCCCAGCCCTACTTATATTCTCTTAAACTTTGAAAGTTTAGTTTTTCCTTAGGGCTGCTTAGCATCTGAAATAAAATTGGCTCACTGTTAGCTCATTCAGCATGCACTGACCTTCAGCATACCTCTAAATATTTTGAAAATGATGTGTTCCCTGATGAAAGCTTAGTTAAGTGTCTAACTAGTGGAACCTAAATATGTTTCCACCCTACATAATAAACCAAACAAATAACAGTAAATGTCTTAGTCTTATTTGTGTTTTGTAATATTTCTTCCATATCTTTAAAATTGTGCAAGATCTTTGAAATATCACCTCACTTTTTAAATTTTAGCTTCAGATTTCCTATAGTTTTTCCCCATTTTATTTATTTTTCCCCCATTTTATAGCTAGTTCTTGAACAAAGCAAAGAGAAATTTGAGTTTAATTCATTAACTGCTTATACCTGATTTTTGATAGAAGTTTCTGGTTCTTAGTGGTATTTTGTGAGATCAGCTTTGTTTTATAAAGACTAATGTTTGGCTGGGAATGTGGTGTAGTGGGAGAGTGCTTGCCTCGCATACATGAAGGTCTGGGTTCAATACCTCAGTACAACATACACAGAAAAAGCCTGAAGTAGCCCTATGGCTCAAGTGGTAGAGTACTTGCCTTGAAAAAAACATGCTCAGGGACAGTGCCCAGGCCCTGAGTTGAAGCCCCAGGACTGGCAAATAAAACAAAAAACTAGTGTTCAGAATGGTTTAATTATTGGAACCATTTGTAGACTTCTAATAGTTTAACTTTACATTTTATTATTTGTCCCTCTAAAAGATTGAAAGGAATTTTAGATCGTGGAAAAGAAGAGTTGGCTGAAGCTGAGATTATAAAAGATTCTCCCGATTCTCCAGAACCTCCAAACAAAAAGCCCCTTGTTGAAATGGATGAAACTCCACAGGTAGAAAAATCAAAAGGTAAGGTATAATCGTGGTTGACTGTATTGATGGAGATTTTTCTAATTAAGTTTTTTTGTTGTTCTTTTGTTCTTTTTTTTTTAGATAGTATCATTTGTTATTGTTGTGTCTTTGGGAAAGAGCTCCTAACTGCCTGAGTATCATTTAGGAGAATCTCTGTTTACAACTTTGGAAGAAGAAACAATGCTTGTCAGCATTCAAAAGCAAAAAAGTAGCTGGGCACCAGTGGATCATCTCTGTAATCGTAAGCTATTTGGGTGGTTGAGACCTGAGGACCAGGGTTCTGAGCCAGCCCAGGTAGGAACATACATGAGACTCTCACTTCCAGTTAACTGGCCAAAAGCCAGAAGTAGAGCTGTGGCTGGGGTGGTAGGTGCCAGCCTTGAGCCAGAACAGAAACCTAAAAGAGAGCAAGAGGTCCTGAGTTCAAGCCCCAGTACTGGCCAAAGCAGATAAATAAAAACAAAAAATATTGTTATATTTACATTAATGAAGCCTTTGGAGAATAAGTACTTTTACCTTAAATTCTGTGTTTTAAGAAATTATAAATATGGGCTGGGAAGGTGGCTCAGTGGTAGAGCACTTGCCTTGCATGCCTGAGGCCCTGGGTTCGATTCCTCAGCACCACATAAGCAAAAAGAAAAAAAGCCGGAAGTGGCGCTGTGGCTCAAGTGGTAGAGCGCTAGCCTTGAACTGAAGAGCTGAGGGACAGCGCCCAGGCTCAGAGTTCAGGCCCCACGACCAGACCCCCCCCCCCCAAAAAAAAAAAGAAATTATAAAAACTTGAATCTGCTGGTATTCTTCATCATATGTGTCAAGTACTAGTTCTTTTGTTTTGTCCGTCGTGGGGCTTGAACTCTGGGCCTGGGCTCTGTCCCTCAGTTCTTCAGCTCAAGGCTAGCACTCTACCACTTGAGCTATAGCTCCACTTCTGGTTTTCTATTGGTTTATTGGAGATAAGAGTCTCAGGGACTTTCCTGCCCTGGCTGGCTTTGAACCTCAGATCTCAGCCTCCTGAGTAACTAGGATTACAGGCATGAGCCACTGGCCCCGGGCAGTACTTGTTCTTAAACTCAGTTTATTGGTAATACTCATTCTTTGATAAATTACACTTCTTTGAATAAACTTAAATGAAGGTATTGATATAAATCATTATCTTTTAGAGGTTGAGTGGGTTAATTTCCTCTTGAAGGAATTCTAGTTTTAATTTGTGAATGAAAGCTCCTAAGACCAATGACCTTCATGATCTTGAACTGAAGGTAAAAATTAAATTTAGTCCTTTAGGATACATGAGAAATGGTATTTGCCATCATCAGACTGATGATTGTGCCTCTTTTGAGGTAGTATAGTTCTCAGAACTGGCCAGATTCCCATTTTTGCGGTTTCTTGTTCTTTTTGTTGTAATAGTTGTTGTTGTAATAGTTGTTGGTGTTGGTGTTGGTAGTGGTGTGTGTGTGTGTGTGTGTGTGTGTGTGTTTGTGTGTGTGTTTGTGTGTGTGGTTGTGTCTGAGCATGTTTGGACTGATGCTTGAACTCAGGGCCTCAGGCTTTTCCTGGTTAATTGGAGATAAGAGTTTAAGAGTTTCACAAATATCTCTACCACTCCCTCTCCTGGGCTGGCTTTGAACTGTAATCTTCAGTTCTCTGCCTCCAGAGTAGCTAGGATTATAGGCGTGAGCCATCAGCATCTGGCTTTGTTTGTTTTTTATATGCTTCTGTCAAATGTGTGCATTGTGTTCCTTAATTTCTTTGAAATCATAGAATCAGAACTCCCTCTTTTATATTTGCCTTTCAGGCATTTGCCAGGGTATCTAGAAAATAAAATAATAATATTGTAGTAAATGTGTTGATAAATCATTTTTATTTCTTACATGATAAGCCATTGCTGCTTAGAATCAGAAATTTAGGTATATGCCAAACAATGTATCTGTATGTATTCCTTAGAAAATAGAACTGTAAAAATATGCTGGCAAATAATTGCAAATAGCCAAAACATATATTAGTAAATTAAATGACTAAACAATAGTGGTTCATAGGGCCGAGTTTATTTAGCCCAAGAATTGGTATTCTCACAAATGCCCACTTTTCTCTCTTGTCATGTCTGCCTGTAATGTCAGGTTTTAGCTTACATCAACTCCTTTCCCAAGAAAAGTTTCCCTGATATCCTTTCACAGTTCAGTGAGGTGCTGCTTCTTTATGCTTCCATTACTTTTTGGGATTGCTACTACGGTAGTGTATAGCAGTAGTACATTAGCATAGCTTCTGCTGTTAGTCTGAAACATTTTAAGATCAGCAATTTTTATTTCTTGTTACATCACTGCTGCCCAACATACAGCGTCTGGTGTGCTTCTATGAGTTGTATTATTTGCTGAATGGATGAGTTCATAAATGTAAGGTATATTAAATAGGTAGGTTTCACTAGGTAGCCAATGAAGAGAATACCATGTGATATTTAGGCAGGAAAAGAAGTTTGTTTACCAAATTGCTGCCCTCCCCACCCCCCCACCATGCCTGGTGGAGAGGCATAGCTGAAGGGGTGGGCTGAGGTCTCACCTGGGTTTAAGTAGGGAAGGGGAAGGGAAAAGGTGCAGCCAGGTGAGGGAAAGTGTGGCCACACTGGATGTGGATGTGACCCAAGGGCCTGGGACCCTCCCCCAGTCTGATGGAAGGCATGACTGGGGCAGCCTAGGATGTGACCTCCAGTTGTACCAGTTACCTAGGTGACACAGGTATTGGGCAGAGACTTAGCCAAGAGGAGGAAAGAGCCTGCCTCGCCTTCCCTGGGTGAACCTTACATTAAGTATGTATTATATAAGGGTGGGAAGGCTACAGACTCTTGTAGTCTTACAATGTAAATTTTGTTTAAAAAAATTTCCTGTGTTCTACCTTGTCACTTGGGTGAATTATCAGCCATGATTACAATAAATGGATCCTTGAAAGCTTTCCCTTTGAACACACTGTGTAATGACCTCTGTAAGAACATTTATATTGTAAATTACTCTCTCTCTCTCTCTGTAGTTTGAAACTGATGTTTGAAAAATATTTTTTTCCATTCTGTTTTACTACCTAAATCATATGTCTTAGTGCTGGATTTTGTGTGTGTATGTGGTTTTGTTTTGTTTTTGTCAGTCATGGGGCTTGAATTCTGGACCTGGGCTCTGTCCCTGAGCTCTTCAGTTCAAGGCAAGTGCTCTACCACTTGAGCCACAGTGCCATTTCCTAAATCATATGTCTTTGATAAGCACCTGGGCTTTGATTTATATCTGTTTTATCTGCTTTGCAATTTTTTTGTTTCCCACAGGATTCTCCAAAGTCAATTTTATGTGCTTTGTTCTTAGGATTGGATTATTATAATTTCATAGATTTGGTTAAAATCTCTTGTTTTCTTTGTGTGATACAGTAACAGAGAAACCCAAATCTTTTGTTGTTGTTCATTAGCATTTTTTGAAATAAGTTTTTTATTATGAAAATACTGTACAGAGGGCTTACAATCACATGAGCAAGGTAATGAGTACATTTCTTATCAAGCATTGTTGCCGCCTCCTTTGTTTTTCTATGTTCATTAGCATTTTTTTCTTTTTGTCGGTTGTGGGGCTTGAACCCTGGGCCTGGGCGCTCTCCCTCAGCTCTTCAGCTCAAGGCCTAGCGCTCTACCCCTTGAGCCATAGCACCACTTCTGGCTTTTTCTGTTATGTGGTGCTGAGGAATCGAACCCAGGGCCTCATGCATAGGAGGCGAGCACTCTCCCACTGAGCCACCTTCCCAGCCCCTTCATTAGCATTTTGAGAATAACATTGAACCTATCAAGATTAGCATTGAGTAAAAAGCAAATTCATTTTCATTTTATTTTACTATGTTTGTTTTATTATGTTTAAATAATTGTATAAAGGGTTTCAATTCAACATGTCAATTTATGAGTACATTGCATCTTGTCAATGTAAAGACCAAAGTACTCATAATTTTTGTTTTGTTTTGTTTTTTGGTCAGTTCTGGGGCTTGAACTTTTGGCCTGGGCGCTCGCTATCCCTCAGCTCTTCAGTTCAGGCAAGCACTCTACCACTTAAGCCACAGCACCACTTCCAGTTTTCTAGTGGTTTATTGGATATAAGAGTCTCACAGAGTTTCCTGCTTGGCTGGCTTTGCCCATGATCCTCAGATCTCAGCCTCCTGAGTAGCTAGTATTACAGACAAGAGCCACCAATGCCCAGCTTACTCATAGTTTTTTGAGTAGTGAGTTTATGATTTTATTTGCTCCTTTGTATGTTGTTTAAAAAGAAAATTGCATAATATCTTAAAGAAGAAAAATATAGTTCTGTTTTGTTTTTTAAAGTTTAAACAACTTACATGTAGAAGGATTCTTTCTTGTGTGTAGTTTGGTAAGTTTTGATATTGCCTAAAGTTGTATAACAAACATTACCACAATCAAGGTATTTCTCTACATTGTACCTTTGTAGTAATTCTTCACCTTTTTTTTATTGGTGCTGATCCTGCAACTTGAACTCAGGGCCTGTGAACTGTCCCTGAGTTTTTGTGCTCAAGAGTAGTGCTCTACCTTTGGAGCTGCAGCTCCACTTCCAATTTTTTTGATGTTTTAATGGGAGATAAAAATCTCTTGAACTTTCCTGCCCAGGTTGGCTTTGAACCTCAGTCCTCAGCTCTCAGCCTCCTGAATAGCTGGGATTATAGGTGTGACCCAGTGGTGCTCAGTTCATAATTGTGCCTTTTTCAGAGTGTCTTAAATGAAATCAAATAATGTTGCCTTTGTAGATTGGATTTTTACATGTCATAATGCATTTGAGTTTCCTGTGTTTTGTGTGTTTATGAGTATTTGTTCTTTTTCATTTATTTGCAAGGCATATTGCTACTTTCTCAAAAGAAAACCCTGCCAAGTTACTTTTCTATATGGTTGTACCTTTTTAATTTCCCACTTTAAAATAGGAGTTTTCTGGTTGATCTGTACCCCTATCAGTATGTCAAAGTTACCTTTGTGGTTTTAGATATTCTAGTAGCTAAAAGATTCATCAATAATTTGTTGTTGTTTTAATTAACATTTTCTTCATGACTAATAATGATAAGCCTCTATTCATTTATTAGTCATTTGCTATGTTTTTGTCAGTGAATATCTGATCAATTTTTAAGCTGGGTTGTTTCTTTATGAGTTCTTAGATAGATGACTTGTGTATATTTTCTCTAAGTGTGTTGCTCCTATTCATTGTCATTTTTACTGATTGGATGCGTCCACCTGACCTGACTCTCACCTTTGTTTTTCTGGGCTCTGTTACTGAGGCAAGCAAGCAAGGTTACAGAAGCAAAACATAGCAAAAACATAGCCTTGAGTCACAGGAGAATAGGCAAAAACATAATCTTGACTTGGTCAACATGACCAATACTATCAATGCTATTGACACTATTACAGAAATTATTTTTATTACAAGCTCTTGACTAATACAGCAACTCAGTACAGCTGATGATAAGCCTCAAGGTTGTCAATAGCCTTCTGCAAAGTTGCCAGCTTGGTAAACTTGATTGAGGGAGAGATATTCTTTTGCTTTTTAGCAAGGACGGAGAAGGGATGAAGGCTGACTACTGGCAGCCTTTGTTTTTTTTTTTTAAATTTTTTTTTTGGTTCCCTTATAGACAGGATTGGCTTGCCCTTACTGAACAAACAACAGGTGCATGCAAGGTCAGCTCATACTTATACTTTATAAACCAAATGGCTGCCTAGACAAAAAATGGAGTTACTTTGGCTAACTGTACCTAACAGTTGTAAAGTGAATTATCAGGGAAGCCACTTTTTTTTTTTTTGTCTTTTCTTTTTTGGTACTGGGGATCGAACCCAGGACGTTGCACTTGCTAGGCAAGCGCTTTGCCACTGAGCTACATCCCAGCCCGGGAAGCCATTTTTTGGATGGTGGAATATTGAAGTCTTCATTGCACAGTTAGCAGGCCACAGACAGCCATCTGTTAGAAAAGCCTGCAGCCCACAAATATATATAACATGGTTAGGAAACAGACCAGAGAGGAAAGAAAGAACAAAAACAATACCAACAAATCAATTTAACTCTAATGGAGAGCTGAATTGGGCCACCATGATGACTGGAGACAAGCCAAGAGACAGGACACAGGACACATCATGGAGACACACATGGCATGGCATAATGGGCCTGTGCTGGTCTGGGCCTAAATAGGGTCAGCACAGGGGGCAGCTCCACTAGACTGACAGATTCAGCCAAGTGCCTGCCCTTGCCTCCAGGGAGCTGGGCAGGCCCATCACCTGGGAGGTGGAGGCATTTCCTTCTTCTTGTGAAGACAAGATGCCATGTGGCCAATATGGTGCTGGCCAGACCTGACCTCTTTACTTCATATGTATAATTTTGTATTTAATCATTTGAATCTTTCCAATAGGTCATTGAACAGAGTGAGTGGTTTGAAAGACCCTAAAGAACATGTAAATTTTAGAATAAGAGAAAAATGCTATTGGCTTGGTTTATATAACATGAGCAATAAAGTTAAAGGTAAGTCTGTTACATTCGTAAATTTTGTGATAATAATACTTATCTCTTTATTGTTTTCTTTGTTATACATCATTAGGGCCTGTGTCCTTATTGTCCTTGTGGAGTAATAGAATCCATACTGCCAATTCCAGAAAACATCAGGAGTTTGCTGGACGCTTAAACTCAGTTAACAACAGAGCTGAATTATATCAACATCTTAAGGAAGAAAATGGGTTTGTGTTATTTATTGTTGAAAATTATTTTATTGTGTAGTGCTTTGGTAAGCACTGCTTACCAAAAATCAGCAGGTTTTTACTACTGTTAAGAGTTGGTAGTACAAGACAGGTGTTGTATCCAGCTGAGCGATAGGGCCATGAGAGTTGGAAGTATTATATCTTAGCTCAGCACTGGTGGTGGCTCATGGCTATAATGTAGCTTCTCAAATGCTGAGATTTGAGGATCTCCATTCAAAGCTGGCCTAGGCAGGAAGGTGTGTATACAAGGTCTGAATTTATTGATTTATAGTGTGCTTGTACCAATAATGCTTTCAGTGGCTAGTAAGCATCTAAGAAAAAAATACAAAGGAGCCCAGCATTTTGGCCTATACCTGTAATCCCAGCTACTCAGTAGGCTGAGATCTGTGGATAGTGGTTCAAAGCCAGCCCTGGCAGGAAAGTCTGAGACTTTATCTCTAATTAACCACCAGAAAACCAAAAGTGGCATTGTGGCTCAAAGTAGTAGTGTGCTAGCCTTGAGCAAAAGAACTCAGGGACAGTGCCCAGGCTCTGAGTTCAAACCCCACAACTGACCAATTAAAAATAAAGATAACAAAGAGAAAATATTTTTATGACAAGTAATGCAGTATTAAAACACTATTTATAATAGAATAAACCCTAGTTTGATGATTTTGTTCAATGATTTGTAAGAAATTCTTGTAAAATATTGGTAAAAGAATTCCTTTAATAGAAAAGGAAAAAACTGCTTTATTCAATAGCAGAGATGCTTTCCTTAGTTTTTTTCAGGGAAAGGAGAGTAGCATCATAAACATACACACGCACGCACGCACACACTGATGCCTTTTGCCTTTTGAATAGCTTTGGGAAAGCCCTTAATTTCTCCAGGGTCAATTTTCACTCATCTTCAAAGTGAGGAAATTGTGTTAATTAGAGGGCCCCTGACTTTATTCTTCTGCCTAATGTGCTTGTCTTATTTTGTTCTTTGCATATATTAGATTTTCATTTCTCTATATGAGGTAGATGAAATATGGATATAGCTAATTGTTTTAATTTACCAACCCATTTTTACCTCCCTTTTTTTTTGTTTCAGAATGGAGACAACAGAAAATGGTAAAGCTAGTCGGCAGTGAAGAATGATTTAAGGAACTGAATTTATGAGTATAATTACAAAAATATTTTGGGCAGAGTTTGACATAAGTACTTTTACAGCAAGGTTGTATAGTTTATGCTAGCTTATGTTAGCTAGACTGGTTTTTACATTTTTTAAATATTTCAATGAACTATCTTTTTTGTACTGGCTATAAAATTGGCAAAGTCAAACATACACCTTTGAGATCTGTTCTCTCCAACCAAATAGGTTTATTTTATACTAACATGTATTCCCTCTGGAAATGTTTTTGTAAAGATTCTTAGGCTTCTCTTTGCCAAATAAAATTATTAAAACACCTAAAGTGCAAAATATTGTAGTGTCACTTTGGAAAAGATGCTATTTTATTCATTTAATGGCTAACAAAATTTGGAAAATTTGAGGTTTAAGTGAGATTTGCAATTCTTAATATAAAATTTTATGTTACTCTACATCATATACAACATAGTGCTTTTCCAAGAAAGAATATTGTCTTTATTTTTGTCTTTATGTTCCTGTGTGTTTGTGTGTTCAAAACTACATTTAAAGCCAGAATTTCCAGGTAGTTGGTATGAATTTATATTTACTAATGTTAGATGTTACTTTTTTTTTTAAGTTAAAGATGTACTTTCTGTTAACTTTTTATGCTTGAAAGTGGGATTATTTACAGACTTAGAAGAAAGAAAACCTAGTATTTTTATCCCTGGATAGTTTCATTTCTTCATATGTAAAAAATGTCCTGGTTTATGTTTTGTGATTTATTGGAATTACTCTCATACTGCTTCAGCTTGAAGTTTTTAATATGGTGTGAGAAACACCCTAAATACTATTTTTAGGGTTTTTTTTCTCTATTTTTTTTTCCTTGAGTGTTTTTTGTGTTTTTTTTTTTTTTTTCTTTCTTTCTTTTTGTTGGTTGTGAGGCCTGAACTCTGGGCCTGGGCACTGTCCCTCAGCTCTTCAGCTCAAAGCTAGCATTCTACCACTTGAACCACAGCTCCACTTCTGACTTTTTCTGCTTATATGGTGTTGAGGAACCAGCTCAGGGCCTCGTGCATGCAAGGCAAACAATCTTTCACTGAGCCACCTTCCCAGCCCCTTCAGTGTTTATTAGAGAAGGGAAAAACCCTTCCTTTCATTTATCTGTCCTAAAATCTTAAGTCCAGATTTAATTATTATAGGTATCAAAGTTAGGCTGTGCTTTCAATTATGTTATATTATTATAATTATTATACTGATTTAAAGCTCAATTATATACATATATATAT